AAGTGCTCTCTTTCGTCTCCCTTCTCTCCTCTTCTCTCTCTCTCCTTCTCTCTTCTCTTCTCAGTCTTCTCTCCTCCCCTCCTCCTCTCCCCTCTCTCTCGCTCTCTCCTCTCTCTCTCACTCTCTCTCTCTCTCTCTCTCTCTCCTCTCTCTCTCTTTCTGTCCCATCTCCTCTTCCTCTCTCCTCTCTCTTCTGCTCCTCTCTCTCTCTCTCTCTCTCTCTCTCTCTCTCTCTCTCTCTCTCCTCTTCTCTTCTCTCTCTCTCTTTTTTTGAGGGGAGGTTGATTTTTTTTTTGGGGGGGGGGGGCAAATCAGGATTAATGCGTCGGTGTTCTGGGCCTGTTATTATTATCTTTTTCGTTCCCGTTCTCTCTGTCATTTTCTTTCTCATATATCGTATTTCATGAGATATATTTGTCACTAGATTATTTCAGTATTTTCATTTTTCAATCTTTAATGAAATAAAAATTGGTTTCTTGGCCTGCGGTCAAACGTACGTAGTATTTGTCCCAAAATGAATGCTTTGAGAAAATCTTATATATAATATATATATATATATATATATATATATATATATATATATATATATATATATATATATATAAATATATATATAATATATGTATATATATATATATATATATATATATATATATATATATATATATATATATATTATATATATATATGTGTATATACATACATATATATTATATATATATATATATATATATATATATATATATATATATATATATATATATATATATATATATATTATATATATATATATATATATATATATATATATATATATATATATATATATATATATATATATATATATATATATGTATTATATATATATATATTTATATATATATATATATATATATAATATATATATATATGTATGTATATACACATACACACTCATATATATATATATATATATATATATATATATATATATATAATATATATATATATATATATATATATATGTATGTATATACACACACACATATATATATATATATATATATATATATATATATATATTATATATATATATATATATATATATATATATATATATATATATATGTATATATATATTCAAATACACAAACGACCATTAACTGAGCAAATGAAACAGCAATTGATAAAATATATACACACACGAACACACACGCACACAAACACTCACCAAATCTATCCATACTCCCCTACCCCCTCATCCACCCCCACCCACCCACCACCCACCCTTACCCCCCTCCCTTATACCCCCCTATAACGAGCGGTCCCTATAACGACCCGAAAGCCAGAAGGACCATAATTCAACCCCGTCATATATATTCCGAGCCGGTCCTGTCATCTAATACCGTTTGAGCTAAACATTAAGCGTTCTTAATTGGATCCAACTTAATTAGTGATCTGTGAAATTAATTCATCACTCCCATTGCGCAGGTAAGGGCCCGCTGTAACCATTAATATACCATCAACATTTAGGGAAAGGGTCTGTGTTATGGGTGACGGGTTTCTGAACTTTTATATGGGTAGTTTTGTTTGTTTTGTTTGTTTTTGTGTTCTGTTTCTCCTTCTCTATGTATTTTTCGTGATTATATTGTTCTCTTTTTTTCTTTGTTCTTCATCTTCCCTTTCTGTGTATTTTTCGTGATTACTGTTGCTCCTATTGTTATTTTTTCGTTTTTCTGTTTCTTCTGTCCTTTTCTTCTTCATCAATTTTTTTCTTCTAATTTCTCTCTCTCATATTGTGCCTCCTTTTTATTCTTATTTTCTGCCTCTTCCTCTCCTTCCTCCCTCCATTTTTCTTCCACCTCAATTTCCTCAACATTCTTTTTCTTCTCTACTTCCACTTTAATCTCTACTGTTCTTCCACCTCCCCCCTTCTTCCTACCGTCCTTCTCAACTTCCTCCACCTCCTCCTTCTCCCCCACCCCCCGCTCCACCCACCTCTCCCCAAGCACCCATCTCCTTCTCTATTTCCTCCACCTCTCCTCCTCCTCCACGCACTCCACCTCTACCTCCTCCCTCTCTTCGTCTTCCTCATCTTCCTCCACCTCCATCTCTCCTCTCTTCTGCTCCACCCCTCCACCTCCTCCTCTCCTCTCTTCCTCCACCCTCCACCTCCTCTACTTCACCCCTCCACCTCCTCCTTCTCTTCCTCCTCCACCCCTCCAGCTCCACCTCCACCCCTCCTCTTCCACCCTCTCCTCTTCCACCTTCTCTTCCTTCCCCCTCCTTCTTAGAAAACATATCAAAGGGGGAATAGAAATTGTTGTTTTCGTCAACATGGAAATACTTTACTATACATTAACGATCAGTTCCGTACCCATTGGCTCGAGTAACCCTATTGCGTATGCATATATGTATGTGCGCATGCAGATGGGTTCACCGTGTGCGAATGTATGTGGGTACGTGTGTGTGTGTAGGTGTGTGTGTGTGTGTGTGGTGTGTGGGGTGTGGTGTGGTGTGTGGTGTATATGGGGGGGGGGCAGGTGTGTGTGTGTGCGTGTGTGTGTGTGGTGTGTGTGTGTGTGTGTGTGTGTGTGTGTGTGTGTGTGTGTGTGTGTTTTTGTGTGTGTGTGTGTGTGTGCGAGAGAGAGAGAGAGAGAGAGTGTGTGCGTGTGGTGTATGAGTAAGTGAGTGTGTGTGTGAGTAGGTGTGTGTGTGAGCGTGTGTATGTTATTGCTCGTCTGTATATGTTGTTTTTTGTTTATATGTGTGAAAAGTTGTAATGCAACCCCTCTACACGAGTTACGACTAGATCACACACACACATACTCACACATACGTATTTATGTGTATGTGCGTGCGTGCGTGCGTGTTTGTGTGTGTGTGTGAGTGTGTGTGTGTGTGTGTGTGTGTGTGTGTGTGTGTGTGTGTGTGTGTGTGTGTGTGTGTGTGTGTGATGATGTATTGATTTACGGCCCTCGAAAGTCCCTGTCAGTCGGCTAAATAACTCACGTGTCACATCAAGATTCCGGTAATTGATAGAGATTGAGATGGTGAGGTGGTTCTTAGTGGTTATGATAATGATAAAGGGTGACGATGATCATTGATGTTGATTAATGATGCATGATGGTTGATTGCGATGTGATGTAAGGGTGGGTGGTAGATGATGATGGTGGTGATAAAGGTCGCTGGTGGTGATGATTAATGATGATTGGTTGGTTATGATGATGATAATGGATGATGATGGAGATGATAAGGTCGTGGTTGATGATGATTGTGATAAGAAGGGTGTGTGATGATTTAATGTTAGGAAGGAGGAGGAGGAGTGAGATGCCATGATGATTAGATGATGAATATGATACTGACAGTGATAATACTTGATGAACAAAACATTAATAACTATTGTGCATTGATGCCATGTTGGTGTGACATTAAAAACAATTATAAAACTGAGAATAATGACTGAAAATGTAATCATGATACCAATAATGGTAATAATGATAATAACAACAACAACAATAATAGTAATGATAATGATGAAAAATCATCATTATTATTATCATGATAATGATAATGATGATAACAAAAATAATAATGATAATAATGATGATAATGATAATAATAATAATAATAATATAATAATAATAATAATAATAATAGTATATAATTAAATAATAATAACAATATTAATAAAATAATAATAATAATAATAATTAAATAATAATAATGATAATAATAATAATAATAATAAGTAATAATTGATAATAAACCATCATCACTCATTAAATCATGATAATAATAATGCTAATGATAACAGTAATAATGATTGTAACAATAATAACAATAACAAAAAAAGACAATTAATAAAATACGACAATATAGCAATAAAAATGATAACATAAAATGGAAAATTATTTCGAATAAGGCTTAACCCTTTTTCTCTGGTATTATAGACACACCAGCCGTCCACTGAAAATTTACGCCTAAAAGATTTATCTAAATTGCTTCCAATTCAGTTCAAAACTTTAGTTAGAAAAACAAAAGAGTGTGACGTTTGGATCCACTGTTACGTTGAATATACAATCTGGAAGGGCAGTAAGTTATAGATGTAAAAAAGAGAGAGAGAGAAAAAAAACTGTGAAATTATATGTTCTGTTTTCCAAACTTGTTGTTGTTGGTTGAGGGGTAGGGGTAAAGGGGTAGGGGGAGAGGAGGAGGGGATTGGGGAACCGGTAATGGAAGGATTGGGAAGGTAAGAAGGTTGGGGAAGGTAAGGGAAGGTTGGGGAAGTAGGGATGGTTTGGGGAAGGTAAAGGAGAAGGTTGGGGGAAAAGGTAAGGGAAGGTTGGAAGGAAAAAAGAGCAGGAAATAATAAGGAATTATTAGAGAAGAACGATAAAAGAAGAATATGAAAGATAAGTATTCATAATGGGGAGGAAGGTTAAGTATAAACACGAATACACATTCAATCATACACACACAGACACACACACACGCACCACACCACACCACACAACACACACAACACACACCACACAACACACACACAACACACACACACACACACACAACACACCCACACACATTATATTATATTATATATATATACTTATTATATATATATATATATAATTATATATATATATATATATATATATATTAATTATATATGTATGCATATACATATATCGGACATCCCACAACCTGGAAAAAGTCTCTCTTTCCTTCTTAAAAAAAGAAAAAGAAAAGTAAAAAAAAAAAAAAAAGACAAATCCCGAAAAAAGGAGAAATATATATATTCACACTTTGCCCCTGTTTCCTGTTTTTTAATCTTTTCCTCCATATTTCTTCCTCGGCGCCCAGCAGTGTCAGGCGCAGGCGCATCTCACCCGCCCACAAATCAAGGGCGGCTCCTACAAATCTTGTTCCTTTCCCCGCCCTTCGCCACGTGTACGGACGCCCTTTCAACGCCCGCTGACCCCCCCCCCCTTGGGCCACGCCCGCCCTCTGCTTCCTGGCACTCGTGGCTGTTGGCTCTTGTTTCTTGTGGATTCTTTGCTCTCGCTTTCTCTGGATTTCTGGCACTCTCGATCTCTGGCACTGTGGCTCTTGGCTCTTGACTCTCTCTGGTTCTTGCTCTCGCTTTCTCTGGCTCTCTGGCTCCCTGACTCTTGGTTCTTGATTATCTTTGGTTCTTGCTCTCGCTTTCTCTGGATCTTCTCACCCTGGCTCTCCTGGCTCCCTGACACACTAATGGCCTTTTGGTTCCCTGGCACTTTGACTCTTGGCTCTTGACTCTCTCTGGTTCTTACTCTTGCTTTCTCTGGCTCTCCGACACTCACACTCTTGGCTCTTCCTCTCTCTCTGGCTTAATCTTTCTTCTCTTGGCTGCTCTGGCACTCTGGCTCTTGGCTCTTGACTCTCTTTGGTTCTTTACTCTCGCTTTCTTCTGGCTCTCTGGCGTCTTGGCTCTGCTCTTGGTTCACTGTTCTGTGGATCGTCCGGTTCCTTGCTTCTTGCTCTCTCTGGGCTCTCTGGCTTCTTTGCCTCTGGATATTCATTTCACGATTTTCCTTCTCTGTGTGTTTGTTCTATCTGTTTCTGCTTACCCCCCCTCCTCTCTCTCTATCTATTATTTATCTATCTATTCTATCATCTATCTATCTATCTCTCTATCTCTATCTCTCTCTTTCTCTCTCTCCCTCTCTTTCCTCTACCTCTCTCTCTCTCCCTCCCTCTCTCTCTCCCCCCTCTCCCTCTCCTCACCCTCCCCACCCTCCCTCCTCCCTACCTCCCTCCTTCTCCCTTCCCCCTCCACTCCTCCCCATTCTATTCACCCTGACAGCGACAGACATACAAACAGGAGAGAGAGAAAGGAAGGAAAATTGGCAGAGCATAAGCCAGCTCGCGCAGGTGGGAGGGAGCGTAGTGTCGAGTATTCCTTTGGTCCTTGTGGTGGAAAGGGGGGTCGGGGGGTGCAGAGCAAGGAGGGGAAGGGAGGGGAAGACAGAGAAGGTGTAGAAGAGGGGTGGGGGGGGCGAGGAAGAAGGGAAGAGAAGGGTAAGGGGGGCTTGCAGGAGGGACGGGAGGGAAAAAGGAGAAGAGTAGGGAGGGGGTGGGGTATTGGCAGGAGGGAGGGGGAGGGGAAGGAGAAGGAGTAGGGGGGGGTGGGGGATTGCAAAGAGGGGAGGGGGAGGGAAGTAGGGAGTAGGAGGGGGTGGGGATTGCAGGAGGGGCAGGGAAGGGGGAAGGAGAATGCGTATAGAGAGAGGGGAGAAGGAGAAAGGAAGAGAAGGGGTAGGGACTGCAGCGGGGGTGGGAGAGGGGGAGGGATTAAGTGTAAGGGAATAGGGGGGGCGAGTAGAGGAGGGCAGGAGGGGGATGTAGATGGAATAGGGTAATGGGGGGGGAGGGGGGAGAAGAAAGCAATAGAGAAAAGGAAGAGAGGAGAGGAAAGGAGGATGAGAGATTATATGAGAGGTATGGGCAGGGGAGGGGGGAGGAGGGGGTGGGGTTTAAAGGACAGAGGAAAGGGGTGAAGACGAAATGAAGGGAATAAGTGTGTGTGGGGGGGGGAGGAGGTATGAGGAAGAGGGGGAAAAAGCGACAGTAAAAAATTGGGAGGAAAGAGTGGAAACAGAAGAAGGTAGGAGAAGGAATGAGGGAGGTGAGAGGGAGGGGGGAGGGAGTGGAAGTAGAGGAGGAAGTAGAGAGAAGAAGAGAGGAGAGAAGAGGGGAAAGGAAGGGAGGCGAGAAAAGAAGGAGAGGGGGAGGAACGGGGAGGGAGGTGCAGAGAGGCAGGAGAGGAGGGAAAGAGGGAAAGAAAGGAGGGAAGAAAGGACGGTAGGAGGAGGGAGAGGCCGGGAGGGAGAGAGGGAGGAGGGGACGAGAAGAAAACAAAACCCTAATGAAGGAAGTTCGGATTTGTTAAAATATGTAGGGAAATATGGGCGAGGGAGGTAGTAGCCCTATGGCGTCGATAGATAGAGGTCGTATGTCTATCTCGTTCCTTGGTGGAGGGACTTAGCGGCTCGGGGCCAGAAGGCTTGGTTTCGCGCCGGAATGAGAAAAATTTATTAGCGTCGTCTTTTTTTCCTTTCTTTTTCTTTTTCTTGCATTTCTTCTTATTGGGGGGTGGGGGGGGTGGGGAGAGGACATCTATATATTTCAGTAACATTGTATGTATTTGCCATGATAATTTTCAGGGAGGTACGACACACACATACATACATATATGTGTGTGTGTGTGCGTGTGTGCGTGTGGGTGTGGGGGCCGGTATGTGTGTGTTGTTTTGACGTATTGTTAATTTTATCTATCTCTCTATATTTGGATATTTGTATAGTTTCTGTGAAATTTCATTTTTTTTATTATATTTGTGATATATTGTTTTTTTTTTTTATATTATTCATCTGTTTCCAATCAACGTGACTATATTTCATCTATCCTACAGGTGCCTACCAACATGGAAAGAAAAAAAATCGAAATAAAAATGTAGCGATTTTTTTTCCTTCTTTCGAAATAAGTATGTAGCGATTTCTTTCCTTCTTTGGAAATACAAATGTAGCATTTTTTTTAAAACCTTCTTTCTTTCTGATTTCTGGAACTATATAACCCGCCCACCCCACCTTTTTTTTTTTTTTTTTTTTTTTTTTTTTTTTTTTTTTTTTTTTTTTTTGAAGAGCGCACCTCCTCAAAAGAGAAATAAAAATGATATCTTCTTCGAGAAAACTCTCAAGTGAAGACATAATCCACGCTTCAACCCCCTCCCCCCCCCCCCCAGGACAACCTCTCCACACCCCACCCCCCTCCCCCCCATTCGAAAAAAGTAGAAAAAAAAAGAGTTTAGAAGAAAAAATGAAAGAAAATAAACACACCACAAAGACCCAACCCACAAATTAGGTCGGTTTACAGAGAATACAGTCTTGTTTTTCTTTTTTTTCACCTTTTTACCCCCTTTTTTTTTTCTTCATCTCCTCCTCTCCCACCTTTCCGCATCATGGGCGTAAGAGATGCGAGGGCGTGAGATGACGCAGCCGCTAATAATTATCTCTTAAAAGGCCAGGACAAAGACTAGCCACCTTCGACGCTCTACAACCCGTAACTAAACATCGTCAGGGGGAAAAAAACGGGAAACAAAGAAAACGGGTGGAGGAGGAACTAATGTACCGAAGAAAATGGGAAACGAGTGTTTGGATGGGGTGCTTCTGAACCTTTTTTTTTTTGGGGGGGAGGGAGGATTTTTTCTTTCTTTTTTGGGGGGATTTTTTTCTTTTCTTTTTTTTCTTGTGAAGGGTTTACCGAAAATAGAATTGTCTTCCAATTTGCCTATTTATTATTCTTACGATTTCTCCTCTCCCCTCTCTTTCTCTCTATCTTTCTCTGTCTCTCTCTCTTTCTTTCTTTCTTTCTTTCTTTCTCTCTCTCTCTCTCTCTCTCTCTCTCTCTCTCTTCTTCTCTCTCTCTCCTCTCTCTCTCTCTCTCTCTCTCTCTCTCTCTCTCCTTCTCTATCTATCTATCTGTCTCTATCTATCTATACTTCTGTCTGTCTGCTCCTCTTGCCATTCCCCTGTTTTCCTTCTCTGTTGATATAGTGCCTGCACCCTTATGCTATCTCATATCAATCATAATTAATATGACTATCAGTTATCTCAATCTCTCAATCATCGCCTTATTTCTCTTCTGGCATTCATCTTCTTCTTGTATATTCTTAATTAATGTCTGATTACATTCATAAGATTGTTATTTTCATCTAGTCTATCTTTTTCTTAGTTTCCTATTTATTCTCTCTCCTCATTTCCCCTCTTCCTTAAGATTATCTCCTTCCCTCCTCCGTAGGGGTCCTTCTCTCCCCTCCTCCATTTTCTCTCTTCTTTGTTTCCTTCTCTTTCCCTTTCATCTTCCATTTCTCCCTTTTTATTCCTTCCATTTTTTTTTTTTTTAGATCTTTCGACCTTTTCCATTTTAAGCTTCTGTCGCTTTCTTCTTTCTTTTCCTCTCTTCGTCCTTTCCTTTCCTTCCCTTCTCCACTCCTTTCGGCATTTTTTAATCTCTTCTACTTTCTCTCATCTTCTTTCTCTTACGGGTTTTCTTTTTTTTCCCTTCGCACCTCTTTCCTCTCCATTTTTTTTTTATCTCCCCTTTCTCCAACACTCACTTTTCTCTTTCTCTCTTTTCCCTTTATTATCCACTCACTCTCCCCTTCCTCATTCACTTTCCCCTCGCTCTCTCTCCTCCTCATTCACTCCTTCATTCTCTCCTTTCCACATTCATTCCTCCCCTCTCTCTCCTCCTTCCCCTTTCACAAACCACTCCCTCTCCCTGTCTCTTTCCCTCTCTAACTACACCCCTTCCCCATTCACTGCTCCCTCTCTCTCCCCCTTCTTCATTCACTCCTCTTTCCCTCTCTCTATTCCCCATCCACTACTCCCTCCCTTCCTCCTTCCCCACTCACTTCTCACTCCCTCTCTTCCATTCCACATTCTCTCCTTTCCCTCTCCCCCTTCTTCATACACTCCCTCCTCCCTCATCTTCTCCATTCACTCCTCCCTCCCTCCCTCCCTCCTTCCTCATTCACTCCTCCCACACTCTTTCCCTTCCTCCTCCTCCCCATTCACTCCCTTCCTCCCTCCCTCCGCCTTCTCCATTCACTCCTCCCTCCCTCCCTCCTTCCTCACTCACTCCTCCCCACTCTTCCCTTCCTCCTCCTCCCCCATAACTCCTCCCTCTCTCCCCCTTCCCCATCACTCCTCCCTCCACCCCTACCCTTCTAATACCCCCTCCACCCCTCCTCCCCCAACTTACTCATCAAGGGAGAAGGAAAATCCCCATTTCCTGACACGTGCAACAGTGATTATCGGTTCTCCACCCTTTCGCTCTCTTTCTCTCTCTCTTTCTCTCTCTTTCTCATTTCCTTCCTCTTACCTGTCTCTTCCCTTCGCCCTCGTGATGGATCATGCCTTTTCTCCTTTCTTTCTTGTTCTTGATTATTGTTTTTCTTCCTTTCTTTTCTTTTCTTTTTCTTTCTCTTTCTCTTCTCTTCTCTGTGGTTCGGGATTTATTTTTTGATTTTTCGTGGTGTTTTTTTTTGTTTTATCCATTTATGATTGTTGCTAGCATCATCATTGTTGTTATTATTATCAACATTGTCATTATAATCATTATGATGATTATTAGATTGTTGTTGTTATTTACCTATTATTAATATTATTTACTGGTTATTGTTATGATTTATATCATTATCATTATATAATAATTACTATTAATCATTCTCATATCACGTATTAATCGCCATTATCATCAGTATCTATTAGTAATATCATTATCTTTATTAGCGTTATTAACATTATCATTTTTAACATTTATCGCTCTTTCTACTCCTTTCTACTTCTACCGTTTAATCTATTGTCATCTACCATACTATCTATCCCTTTATTCTCATTCCCCTCCCCCCCCCTTCTGCCCCTCCAACAAGTGACCACCAATCTTCACAGGATCTCGCCTCACACCCCTCACCCTCCCTCACCCTTCACCCCCCCCCACCGACCCCTACCTAACCACAAT